ATTATTCGCATACTTAACATGTATAAATAAAGAAATAAATGCAATATTCATCAGTCTAGACATGTATATCAACCCGGCAAATAGATGGTTAAATGTATATCTATCAGATATGTAAACAGATATGCCTATTTCTGCCTGTTTCTGCATTTCATTGGGTCGGGTCTGGCACAGTTTTAACAAAGCGGCTGTAAGACATGATTATACACTGAAATGGATGCATATCTATCTGTCTAGACATGCATATCTATCGTATAGATAGAGAGATAAATGTATCTGACAGATAGACATGTATGAATTTATCTCTGTATATATACATGTCCGTATATATTAATATTCATAGGATCGGGCCTCGCACAATTTTAACAAACCGGCCGTATGCTAATAGTAATGAGAATTATAAACGTAATAGGGATATTAGTGAGTGTGGTAATAATGATAGAAATGATTACTATGATAATGATAACAACAGTAGTATTGACAACAGCAACAACAACAGTGCTAATACTAATAATATTAGCAATAATAATAATGATAATGATAGTGATAACAATAATGGAAATGTCGATAATAATATTGATAATAATAATAATAATAATGCTTGTGATAACAGTGATGAAATAATAAAGTTAATAAATATAGCAATAATGATATAAAAGAACAACAACAACGGCAGCAACAGTAACAGTGATGATGAAAAGAACTTACCCGTTTTCACTCTCCGTCCGATTCCGATTGGAATATCATCACAGTTTTTTTTTACATTTCACTTTGTGATGTTAACATGCCAACAATTCTGTGCTGATATAGAACAAGCATGTAATATGTGCTAGACATATAATGTACGAGCGCCGTATAAGGACATATGGAAATAAAAGGAAATAAAAGCATGTTTATACAAACTGGTTGGTCCATTGTTGTTTCAAATTTCATTAACATACTCCTCGACAACTTTTCGAACTTCTTGCAGATGGGCTTCAAAATGATTTCCGATGATTTTAACACAGACGCTATTCCTTCCCCAAATCCACAAAGCACCAACGTCCAAGTAACTATATAAACCTTG